CTTCTGTATACGTACACCAATTATGAAGTCTACTTCTGTACACCTTTACCAATGATGAAATTTACGTCTGTACACCTTTACCAATGATAAAATCTACGTCTGTACACCTTCACCAATGATGAAATCTTCTTCTGTACACCTTTGCCAATTATGAAGTCTACCTTCTGTATACGTACACCAATTATGAAGTCTACTTCTGTACACCTTTACCAATGATGAAATTTACGTCTGTACACCTTTACCAATGATAAAATCTACTTCTGTACACCTTCACCAATGATGAAATCTTCTTCTGTACACCTTTGCCAATTATGAAGTCTACCTTCTGTATACGTACACCAATTATGAAGTCTACTTCTGTACACCTTTACCAATGATGAAGTCTACTTCTGTACACCTTTACCAATGATGTAGTCTACTTCTGTACACCTTTACCAATGATGAAGTCTACTTCTGTACACCTTTACCAATGATGAAGTCTACCTTCTGTACACTTTTACCGATTATGAAGTCTACTACTGTACACCTTCACCAATGATGAAATCTTCTTCTGTACACCTTTACCAATTATGAAGTCTACTTCTGTACATCTTTACCAATGATGAAGTCTACTTCTGTACACCTTTACCAATGATGTAGTCTACTTCTGTACACCTTTACCAATGGTGAAGTCTACTTCTGTACACCTTTACCAATGATGAAGTCTACTTCTGTACACCTTCACCAATGATGAAGTCTACTTCTGTACACCTTTACCAATGATGAAATTTACGTCTGTACACTTTCACCAATGATAAAGTCTACTTCTCTACACCTTTACTAATGAAACGTCTGATGACCATATTATTTTTCTCGTGGTAGGAGTCGTTTCTGTTTGTTTTCGTGTCTATTATATCTTGCGATATTGGAACCTGGTGAACAGATCGATACAGCTACCATCTCCAAGTAAAGTTAAATACAGATCTACCTAAGCAACAGATTCATTCAACGGGAATCGAAGTGAAATTATAAACAATAGTACGAAGGCAACAACAAAAACATTTGACACATGGGTGTACAGTAACAAATATTTTGTTCTTGGACGTTTCGGAATGTACATATTCCTTCTCCAGCAAGCTATGTTGAACAGGGTAAAATATTAGGTACAAATATTTATCTAAATTTCTAAAGTTCCAGCATTTTGTAGAGATAAATTAAAATATAGAATAAAAGGAAATGATGAAGAGAAGTAGAGAACAAGAACAAGAAAATATATGACAGTACAACAATTGTAACATCATTATATAAGTCATTCAAAATAGCCTTAATTGTAGCCAAGTTTTATTAATATTTAAAGTTGGGAGTTCATTTATAATGGATAACCTTTCTTTAATTAAAAGCTCAATACTGGATGATATTTGATGAGATGACTTTGAAATTCTAAATCAAGACAGGCTGGTTGCTTGAAACTCCTATATGTTGGCAGATGTAATTCTCTGTGTAGTTTTGCCAATGTAAGCGACATTACAGCCACCACATGTGTACTTACATACGATTCTTGAATACATAGATTTAGGGAATATTATCTGGTAAATCAACACTATTTTATTCACCGGCCTTTGGTAGCCATATGAAGAACTAGTCGTCTAATGTATTTTACATTTCTGTTCCCTTTGTGTCCAGAATGTGATAATACCTTCTATATTTCTTCCCTGAGTACCGAGCTCATTGGTAAAGGATATATGAAAATCTGTGATATGATGCCACTCCCATAGCATCGTAATTTGGTATTAATTTACAAATTCAAATAGTAGATTTTGCTCTTGAACGTAACAGGTTTGTGCACTATGACATTAGAAAATATATTTCGATTTAAAAAATTAGGCCTAACTTTTTGAGAGTTTTAATTCTTTTTTGAAGCAAATAAAGAGACATTTTATTTACACAATGTTAATAATATTTGTTTTATAGTTGTTTTCATTAAAGTTTTGTTTTATTTTATGTGTCAAATGGGTGTTTTGATTAAACTTTCGCTATTTTATAAAAATACAGTATGCATCAAAATTTTATTTTATATCTTATTAAAAGAGTGTTTTCAAATGAGTCGCATCCCACCCTCCCAAGTGGCACAGTGGAAAGTCTGTAGGCTTACAACGCTAAACATCGGGTTTCAATACCCGTGGTGCGAAGAGATCAGATAGCCCATTATGTGAACTCAATAACAAAGAAACGCTGCTTCATTTACATTTTTCTACCAGCTGTTATTATACAAAATCTTCGCGTCTCAGTGTGAATAGCGTGTTCACGTAATTTTTATAAAATAATATTCTGACAATTACTCCATTATAATTCGTAGTGAAATTATTATCGTGTACGTAATCTTATGTTTTAAAACATCCTCATGTTTTGATAAAACAACGACTTAACTTGATGGAAATATTAATTTACAATAGACAAGCTGATGAAAAAAGATAAACCATCACCGTCCTTTGTGAGACCTTCTATCCCTCTGTGAGAAAAACTGACAGACAATCCACCTTCACAACCTTATTAACATCATGATAACCAGAGCTACTAAACTTGTCAATCTGTTGGAAGCTGACAGACAATCCATCTTCACAACCTTCATTAACATCATGATAACCAGAGCTACTAAACTTGTCAATCTGTTGGAAGCTGACAGACAATCCATCTTCACAATCTTCATTAACATCATGATAATCAGAGCTACTAAACTTGTTAATCTGTTGGAAGCTGACAGAAAATCCATCTTCACAACCTTCATGAACATCATGATAACCACACCTACTAAATTTGTTAATCTGTTGGAAGCTGACAGAAAATCCATCTTCACAATCTTCATTAACATCATGATAACCAGAGCTACTAAACTTGTCAATCTGTTGGAAGCTGACAGACAATCCATCTTCACAGTCTTCATTAACATCATGATAACCAGAGTTACTAAACTTGTCAATCTGTTGGAAGCTGACAAACAATCCATCTTCACAATCTTCATTAACATCATGATAATCAGAGCTACTAAACTTGTCAATCTGTTGGAAGCTGACAAACAATCCATCTTCACAATCTTCATTAACATCATGATAATCAGAGCTACTAAACTTGTCAATCTGTTGGAAGCTGCAGCGGCAAATAGAACTGAAGAAAGTCAACTGCTTGTGCTCTACCAAAGTCTTATCTGCCCCTTTATCAAATCCAACAAGCTCATAAGTAAAGCCCCTTTATCAAATCCAACAATCTCATAAGTAAAGCCCATTTATCAAATCCAACAAGCTCATAAGTAAAGCTCCTTTATCAAATCTAACAAGCTCATAAGTACCCCTTTATCAAATCCAACAAGCTCATAATTAAAGCTCCTTTATCAAATCTAACAAGCTCATAAGTACCCCTTTATCAACTCTATTGACAGCATATCTACTTGGTTTGCACCAGTAAAGTGAAAGTGACAACCATGACAGGTCTTCATTGACATTCAGAGAGAATGAGACAGCTGGAAATGAAAGTACCATAAATTGTAGTTAGGAAAAGAAAAAGATTAGGAATGAGTAGGAAAATATACAGGCATAAGGCCTTTGGTACATTAGTAAAGAAACTTTCTTCTGTCTCCTACGAAACGGCCAGTCTCCACATGAGGAGTTGAATTGTCATCTAATACTCAATTCAGTACTCAAGACATCAGGTTCGGTCTTGATGTGGGTTCCTAGATATGTTTTAATAATGTTACTTAATGCTCAAAACGCAATAGATCTTGTTTGGACTAGAAACTGTTTATTTCTTGATTTGTTACTGTATTTTCAGGACAAATTAGTTTCATCATGAATACTCTGCCTAAACAATCTATGAAAGAATAAATTAGGTTTTGTTTCAACTTGAACTTGTTTGTTCTCTGATACATGTTAACAAGGTGACCCTATTTACAAGGCGTATATTGAGATATGTTTTGTAGAGTGTTGTCGTTTTGCTTCTTCTCATCAACGTCGTCATCAGCCATGGTTTTCTATCTGCTTCCTGGACTCCTGGACATCTGTCAAATCTCCACACCGATCAATTAGCAGATATGAATTAACTCTGAAATTACTTTTAACCCCACTATCTTAGCAAAATTTTCTTTCTCGCGAGCGGGGCGAAGGGGAATATTAATATCCCTGAACACCCCAGGATAGGAAGGGGGATATTAATATCCCTGAACAGTTCAGGTTAGGAAGGTGGTATTAATATCCCTGAACAGCCAAGGTTAGGAAGGGGAGATTTTAATATCCTGAACACCCCAGGTTAGGAAGGAGGATATTAATATTCCTGAACGGCCCAGGCTAGGAATGGGATATTAATATCCCTGAACAGCTGAGGTTAGGAAGGGGGTATTAATATCCCTGAACAGCCAAGGTTAGAAAGGGGGGATATTAGTATCCCTGAACACCCCAGGTTAGGAATGGTGGATATTAATATCTCTGAGCACTTCAGGTCAGAAAAGTTCATCTTTCCTGAAAAAACTAAATACCTGCAACGGTTTTTACTTATTTGCTATTAAAATTATACTTTTGAAAAGTCCCTCGACGGGTTAGTGATAAGTTAAGGAACCTACAACGTTAAAAACTGGCGTTCGATTCCCCGTGGTGGACACAGCAGGTAGCCCAGTGTGGCTTTGCGCTAATATAAACATCTGTAAAAATGTGTTGATATGAGTGAAAACACCTTATAATTTAAGTTCTGTTTTTTCTTTATATTCCTTGAAAGAGCACCTATTAGTTCTTCTCATATCTTATTTTTCTTGTAGAGAAGGAGTCGAGAAGTGTGTGCTCTGGTCAACCAACACCACTCAGCAAATAGACTTAGCGCTAAATATATTTTTTATGGTCTACTTTTTTATACGTGTAAGTATCACTTTTAATACATCCAACGAAGAAAAGATCTAATTCATACTGACGGTCAGTTTAATAAGTTTTCTGATCGTTCCCAACTCACTTCTTAAGAAACAAAGTCTTCCATTAGATAACGTCAAAGAATCGATATTTTCAAGTTGTGCTTCAATTATTTTCAAAAACATGCACGCAGAATATTCATTTATTGCATAATTATTCATGTGGAAAATTTTAGTCAATAAAAATCATTCGGCTATATATTCAAAAATATGAATACGTGTTATTTGTCTTCCAAGTAATTCATTTATAAATTCCCAACTAACTTATCGTTATATGCTTCATATATCTTTGTCACTAAAAAGATTGAAACAACAATTTTTATATTAATGCTTGTAGTATTCTTTAGTTTCTTTAGGTACAATATAACATCTTGTGGATCTTTGTCCATGTTTTCTGTACAATATAACATCTTGTTGTTCTTTGCCCATATTTTCTGTACAATATAACATCTTGTTGTTCTTTGTCCATGTTTTCTGTACAATATAACATCTTGTTGTTTGTTCTTTGTCCATGTTTTTCTGTACAATATAACATATTGTGATTCTTTGTCCATGTTTTCTGTACAATATAACATCTTGTCGTTCTTTGTCCATGTTTTCTGTACAATATAACATCTTGTCGTTCTTTGTCCATGTTTTCTGTACAATATAACATCTTGTGGTTCTTTGTCCATGTCTTCTGTACAGTATAACATCTTGTTGTTCTTTGTCCATGTTTTCTGTACAATATAACATCTTGTCGTTCTTTGTCCATGTTTTCTGTACAATATAGCATCTTGTGGTTCTTTGTCCATGTTTTTTGTACAATATAAAATCTTGTTATATTGTATAAGTTATATTTCATTGTTATATTTCATAAGTGTAATTCATGAATATTCTTAGCAGTAAACTTTAAACTCTCCTATGAAGGAAATTCTAAGCATTTTTGTCTTTAGTTTATAGCTGCAAGTGACAAATTGTGGTTCATGCTAGAGTTATATTCCTTCGTGGATTACTTCACCATTCCGCCTTCCTTTGTGTCGATTTATCTTGATCGCACGTGGATAGGTAACTATAAATTTTGAGTCACGATTAAAAATATCTCTCTATATATATTTTTTTCGAACTAGAATTCTAATATGCTGTTTTGTTATTATTTGCTCCACGTTTTTTAGAGCACCAAGTGCATTTTGTAACAAAATAATTATGACCAAGAAATACTCACTAAAGCAATATTTATCTTCTGATAAATAAGTGGATAACACTAAAAGTTATTGTGTTATACGAGACTTGCAGACTAGATAATAAAACGGGTTTTTTTCAGGTCTGCGGTTTCTGAGGGCCCTACGTCTGATGTCAGTTCCTGATATACTGCAGTACTTGAACATACTTAAGACGAGCAGCTCTATCAGGCTGGCTCAGCTGATAGCAACAGTCATAAGTGTTTGGCTCACTGCCGCTGGAATTATACATTTGGTAAGATCCGTTAAACAGCTAGTCAACGATGATGTAGTCTTCTCAAGAAACTCGATCTCAAGTACATGACGCACGTTCAGCTGATGTGAAAAACATTATAATGTTTCTTTCAGTTACAATAACAAAATTAAGGTACAGAAAGAAAGAGAAACAACATGCAAGTTATGTAACAGTAATGTGGAAACTAACAACAATAACAGGCAAAAACATGTAAGTTTTGTAACAGTAATGTGAAAACAAACAAAAACATGCAACAATATGTAAGTTATGTAACAGTAATGTGGAAACTCACAACAAGAACAGGCAAAAACATGTAAGTTTTGTAACAGTAATGTGAAAACAAACAAAAACATGCAACAATATGTAAGTTATGTAACAGTAATGTGGAAACCAACAACAAAAACAGGCAACAACATGTAAGTTTGTAACAGTAACGTGAAACCACACAAAAACAAGCAACAACATGTAAGTTTGTAACACTAATGCGGAAACAAACAACAAGAACAGGCAACAACATGCAAGTTATGTAACAGTAATGTGAAACAAACAAAACAAGCAACAATATGTAAGTTTTGTAACACTAATGTGGAACAAACAACAAGAACAGGCAACAACATGTAAGTTTGTAACATTAATATGGACACAAACAAAAACAAGCAACAACATGTAAGTTATGTAACAGCAATGCGGAAACATCTTGTAAGTTATGTAACAGTAATGCGAAAACAAATAAAAACAAGCAACAACATGTACGTTTTGTAGCAGTAATGTGGAAACAAACAACAAGAACAGGCAACAACATGTAAGTTTTGTAACATTAATGTGGAAACAAACAAAAACAAGCAACAACACGTAAGTTTGTAACACTAATGTGGAAACAAACAAAAACAAGCAACAACATGTAAGTTTGTAACACTAATGGGGAAACAAACAAAAACAAGCAACAACATGTAAGTTTGTAACACTAATATGGAAACAAACAAAAACAAGCAACAACATGTAAATTTGTAACACTAATGTGGAAACAAACAAAAACAAGCAACAACATCTAAGTGGTACTAGAGGAGTGAGAGATGGTTTAGGGTTAGCAATATAATTACTGGTACTAGAAGAGTGAGAGATGGTTTAGTGTAACCAATATAACTATTGGTACTAGAAGAGTGAGAGATGGTTTAGTGTAACCAATATAACTATTGGTACTAGAAGAGTGAGAGATGGTTTAATGTAACCAATATAACTATTGGTACTAGAGGAGTGATAGGTGGTTTAATGTAACCAATATAATTATTGGTACTAAAAGAGTGATAGATGGTTTAGTATAACCAATATAACTATTGGTACTAGAGGAGTGATAGGTGGTTTAATGTAACCAATATAACTATTGGTACTAGAAGAGTGATAGATGGTTTAGTGTAACCAATATAACTATTGGTACTAGAAGAGTGAGAGATAGTTTAGTGTAACCAATATAACTATTGGTACTAGAAGAGTGAGAGATGGTTTAGGGTTAGCAATATTCCATTATTTATTTCCAGTTAACTGTTGTAATTTTCCTTATTCACATTAAATTTACTTTTTGAATCCTTCCTTTTGCTATGATCGCCTTTCCCTATTACACCATGAAAACATTTTCCTTCAGTGTTAAACGGTAATAATTGTTGCACTATGAAAACGTTTTCCCTCAGTATTAAACGGTAATAATTGTTGCACCATGAAAACATTTTCCTTCAGTGTTAAACGGTAGTAACTGTTGCACTATGAAAACGTTTTCCTTCAGTGTTAAACGGTAATAATTGTTGCACTATGAAAACGTTTTCCTTCAGTGTTAAACGGTAGTAACTGTTGCACTATGAAAACATTTTCCTTCAGTGTTAAACGGTAATAATTGTTGCACCATGAAAACATTTTCCTTCAGTGTTAAACGGTAATAATTTTTGCACTATGAAAACGTTTTCCTTCAGTGTTAAACGGTAGTAACTGTTGCACTATGAAAACGTTTTCCTTCAGTGTTAAACGGTAATAATTGTTGCACTATGAAAACGTTTTCCTTCAGTGTTAAACGGTAGTAACTGTTGCACTATGAAAACGTTTTCCTTCAGTGTTAAACGGTAGTAACTGTTGCACTATGAAAACATTTTCCTTCAGTTTTTAACGGCTATAATTGTTGTATTGTGAAAAATTTTACTGTTGTTCATTGAACAATTTCCAGAGATTGTAACTTTAGTTTTGTTAATGTAATGATTTTCCATTGCTTTTATGCAGTATGATTGTGTACCTTTCTAGAGAGGGCGCTTAAAATTTTGTTTTAATTAAGCTGTCAAATTTGATATACGTTTAATTTTCTGTACTTAATTTTCTATTAAGCTTGAGTAGCTTGTACTTGAAGAGGAACTTCCGGTTTCTAGGTTGTTATTAACATTCTTGAAATTGAAATTATTACACACATGCACGACTGGAATGCTTTGAATCGGATATGTATGCGCAGGGAAGAAAAAAATAAAAGAAAAGGGTAATATCTGAACCAATAAGGTCAGTCTGTTTTTTTGTTAATTTAAATACATGTGTTGTTTTAATAAAATGAACTGCTTCCTTCATTTCACATAGTTTAATTCAGACGTTCATCTCTTGAGAAATGAATGTTTTCACGTTTCAGTTGGAGAACTCTGGCGATCCTCTTGATTTCGACAACATCCACAATTTATCATATTGGGAATGTGTTTACTTTTTGATCGTCACTATGTCCACTGTCGGCTACGGAGACATCTTCTGTAAAACTACGCTAGGAAGGGTGTTCATCGTGTTTTTCATCCTAGTTGGTCTGGTAAGGAAAACAGAATAAAAAACGTTGGTCTCAAAGATGTTCAATTGTTTAATCTTTTAAACTCGTCTCTTTACAACATTAGGACATGATACGTGTAGTTTATATTGTAATGAATAATAGGTCATGATACATGAAGTTTATGTTGTAATAAAGAAAACGTCGTTAGGTCATGATACTTGTAGTTTATGTTGTAATAAACAATACGTCGTTAGTTCATGAAAGGTGTAGTTTATGTTGGAATAAACAATACGTCGTTAGGTCATGATACGTGTAGTTTATGTTGCAATATACAATACGTCGTTATGTCATGATACTTGTAGTTTATGTTGTAATAAACAATACGTCGTTAGGTCATGATACGTGTAGTTTATGTTGAAATAAACAAGAACTAACGACGTATTGTATATTGCAACATAAACTACACGTATCATGACCTAACGACGTATTGTTTATTCCAACATAAACTACAAGTATCATGACATAACGACGTAATGATAGGTGTAGTTTATTTGAAATAAAGATTATGTCGCTAGTCCATGATACGTGTAGTCCATTTTGGAATAAACGAAACGTCATTAGGTCATGATACGTGTAGTCCATTTTGGAATAAAGATAAGCCATTAGGCCTGATACGTGTAGTTCATGTTAGAATAAACGATAATACAAAACTATATAAAGCTTGTAAAAGATTTAGTTGTTGATGAAGAAACTTTTGAGTTTTCTTCTTATCAATAAGTAGATGTATTTGAAGAACGTGGTATTTTCATTGTACTTTCATGGTTTATTTCGCCCTTTTCCTTGCTAGTATAAGACCCGTTCCTTTTTTATATACCAATGAGGGTAATCTAAACTGCCTTAGTTTGATAACTTGCATAGTTTCAACTGTTGATCTCACATCTCAAGACTGACACAATTATTCAAATATCTTTCTGTACCCTAAGAGTGAATTAATTAAACAAATTCCTTCCTGTGCCAAAAAATAAATAATCAAAATTATTTAATGTATTCAGAGATTGACTAAAACAATACAAACCCATTAATATACCCCAAGACTGACTAAATCATACTAATTTCTTCCTGTAGTTCAAGACTAACTAAAACAATGTAAACTCAGTGATATACCCCAAGACTGACTAAATCATACTAATTTCTTCCTGTACCTCAAGACTGACTAAATCATACTAATTTCTTTATGTACCTCAAGACTAACTAAAACAATACAAACCCATTGATATACCCCAAGACTGACTAAATCATACTAATTTCTTCCTGTACCTCAAGACTGACTAAAACAATACAAACCCATTGATATATCCCAAAATTGACTAAATCATACTAATTTCTTCCTGTACCTCAAGACTGACTAAAACAATACAAACCCATTGATATACCCCAAGACTGACTAAATCATACTAATTTCTTTATGTACCTCAAGACTAACTAAAACAATATAAACCCATTGATATACCCCAAAATTGACTAAATCCTACTAATTTCTTCATGTATCTCCAGTCTGACTAAATCATAATTTCTTCCTGTAACCCAAGATTGACTTAGTCATACAAACCCATTCTTCTACTCCAAGGCTGATTAAATCCTACAATATTTTATGTCCCAAAAATAGTTTTAATAATCCAAAGTTATTTTCTTTTTATATTTCCCAGACTGACTCAATCATTCAAACGTGGTCCTAATATATAGTCTTATCCCAAACATTACCTGTTCTTCATGTACTTTTACACTGTTAGAATGGAAGTTGATTCCTGACATCTGAGGTTTCTTGTGTAATCTAAAGTTTTAGCTTGTTTAACATTCAACCGTTTTAAAGCAGTTGTTTAGCTCTCCACATAAGCATTGTTTTCATCACCTATTTACGGTAGTTAATCAGCTTGTTTAACATTTAACCGTTTTAAAGCAGTTGTTTAGCTCTCCACATAAGCATTGTTTTCATCACCTATTTACGGTAGTTAATCAGCTTGTTTAACATTTAACCGTTTTAAAGCAGTTGTTTAGCTCTCCAC